AGCCATGCCATAACATGAACATGAGCTGTTCCTTTGCTTCTCCATACTTTTTTCTTCCCTTTATTCTGGTGTAATGTTTAACCTTTAATCATTTATCCTGCTTTCATTGGTCCAAAGAATTTGGAAAAAAAGGGCAAAGAACCCTTTTTCTAGCAAAGTCTAACCTGGCCTTCTTGTCCTTGGGTTCATCCAGGGGTTTGCACCTTGCTGCAAACCCTCTGAATTCACATTCATACATTTTTATTGTTGATTAAAGACTTTTTATACATCAAACTCCTTGTTTTGTTCTTCACTCCTTTAGATGTTGTGAATTTAGCATCTTGTCAGCATCTGTTTGCAATAATTGCAAGAGTTAATGCAATACTTAAGTTCATTCCCTTTAAATAAAGCTGAAAGTTTGCAATTCAATCACATACTGATTGGTGGATTGATTTGAAATCCACTGTGGTGCACAGAGGCAAAACCACAAAAAAACCCCAAACCAACCCTACTATCATATTTCTGAACAAGATTTGATCCATATTGATCCATATCAGTTGTTCAGTGATATCCACCCAAAACTGCTTAACAAGAGGACCACAGCATTCTCCACAACCACAGCAACACAATTTTAACGATGCATGATCAAGTTTCTTCAGCGTACAGGGTTTGGCATAGCTCCTGTGTAATATTTATAATTGCAGTATTGTGTATGTGACACAATTAGATGTTTTTGTTCCATATATTTTCATAGAAAGGTTATTACAGGTTGTTACTCTAAGTTTACATACACATACATGACTAGTGAGGTTTCCCCTTGCTGTACTTGTACCATAATCCAATAACTGGCCACATCCTCAGTTTAAGTGGCGGGCACGTCTCTTACATAACATGGGAAAGTGAGGGTCTGACCTCATTCATGGTCAGTGAGGATCAATAAAGAATTTAGTTTCAGCACCTGCCAATATGCTGCAGTTTGGTGGGTGGAGTGATGTTTAAGCTCTGCGGCCAGATCAATGAAGTAAAAGTCATTACTGGGTTATGAATGTTGGTAAGGGTGTGGGTGAAGGGGAGCCAGCTTTCCCCAAAACCTACCATCATTGGCTGAGGGCGTTATCCTGCTGCTACCACCCATGCCCATCCCCACTGACCCCTGAAGTGTCCAAAAGGCCGGCCTGAATCGTGTGTAACCTTTCCACTGACCTCCGTGGAGGGTGAGGCCTTTCTTTTTTTTACTGCCCTGATGGGGGGTTGTGGAGAAATTAGGACTTTGGCTCTTCAGCTGAATCACACAAAAGGGTCCAGCAAGAGAGATGTAGATGAGTCCTCTCCACACGCTACTCTTGTTCACCAGAAACAGTTCACATGAATTGAGCCCTCCCCCCAACAATAATAGGGCTGTTATACAGTGAAATGTAGCTTAAAATGAATCACAGCTGGAAATGAAGAAGCAGAACTCAAAGAGAGAGAGAAAAGAACAACAGCCGGTGTGATCTGAAACAACACCAATTTGTTCATAAATGTAGTTTTTCATATTTTATAACATAACCTCAGAAGAAAACTGATGAATTAAACACTTCATATGCACTTAAAAGCTCACTGAGCTCTCTATGCCTAAAGCAGATTTAAGATGTTAAAAGTATCTCTTACAAAAGTCTGGGTTAAAAATGAGTCCAGACTTGCAGGTATACCACTGACTAACTACAATTTGTGTTCACTTTAAAGTATGGATGTTACTGCTCTCTTGTTTCCTATTATAGGACACAAATTCAAACAGTACCATGTGATTTTGCCGACATGCTTTGGTTGTATCCACATGTGCAGACATCTGACTGCTTTTTTCAACTGTCAGTGTTTTTCTGCACTTGTCCCTTACAATTAATCTGTTAAATAAAATAATATTAATAAAAACATAGCAGTTTGGTGATGCCCCAACTGCTATGTTCAGGAAATCTGATTGTGTTTCATCTCCCCCTGCTGGAACAAGTCAGTACTACAACCACAGGCATGTAAGAAGAACATGCTGGATCACAGGGTTAGATCAGATTTAGACAAGCGAGTTTTATTTCCACACAATAGTCAAGTTACTTTTATTTACAGAGCACATTTAACCCAGCATGCTCTCCAGTTAAAGACCCAAGTACTAAACAGTAAAACTCACACATTCAAGTCACATGATAAAAATAAAAAAAAGCAAAGCAAAAATTACTCTATTAGTGAAAAACACAATAAATGCCAAAGCTGCTGAAGTTTAATCTGAGGATCAGAATGTGGAAGAAAGGTAATTTAAGAGACTTTAAATGTAGCACGGTTCTCAGGGGAAGACGTGCAGTATAGGGCCCTGGGTGGTTTCAAGCCCAGGCTATTCCATTTCACACATGTTACATATTGCCTTAGTTATCATCATAGTTAGATTCTTTCCTTCAGTTTGCCAACCAATCTGCACTGTAAATATGACACACGAATCCCCTGCTGTGAAGAAAAGCCAATAAAGAGGCTGGACTGTCATTCTGTTGTAAGGCCTGTAGTTAACATTAATCAGTAACTTCCAATTTAGACATATTTACACTGCTACAAAGAACCACTTGTATGTAATCTCTTCATCTCTGAAATAAATCAATCATGTTATTGATAACAGTGAATGTGAGACAGGAATTTTCCATGACTTATTGAAAGCATTTAATCACTATGTGTTTATACACCACTCTGCATTTAATCATTAGTTACTATTAAGCTCTGGCTCTCTCCCACAGCATGTCTTTGTCCTGTCTTCCTTCCCTCACCCAATCAGTTGGGCCAGACAGCTGCCCCTGTCTGAGCCTGGTTCTTCTGGAGGTTTCTTCCTGTTAAAAGGGATTTTTTCCTTCCCACTGTCGCCAAAGTACTTACTCAAAAGGGGGGTCATATGACTTTTGGGGGTCTTCTCTGTTTTCTTTGTATTATTATAAGGTCTTTACCTTACAATATAAAGCACCTGTTGTTGTGATATGGCACTATATGAATTAAATTGAACTGAATTTATACTCTAGACTTCTTTTAGGCAGCCTAGAACATGGTGTCAGGGGATAGCACTTAGTAGCTGTCAAATGTGGGGCCCCACAGGGATCAATGTTAGGACCACTTACCTTCCTTCCACTTCTCTAGCATTTTCTTCCATGTGAAGCCTCACTTATTTTGTACCAATCACTGTTTGAGCCTCACTTAAATGATTATAATGCTTTACAAAAGGAAATTCCTCTTGTATGAGCCATGCCAAGGTCTAAGTTAGATGCTCCCTCTGATCCTCTTTTTCATGGTTACAAACTTTTGAAGCTAACTGAACTAAGCTGACTTCTTTCAAAATGCTTGTGTTATGCATAATGTAGCATTGGACTTAACAAAAAACTTTGTGAGCCTATTGTAAATATATCAATCCTCTAACATGTATAACATGAGGGGAAAACAACTTTCAAAGGGTAATAAACTTGGATACTTAAGTTTGCATTTAGTGTGACCTGGCCACCTTTGTGGACCTGTAGAGATGGAGGTCCACAAATTTGGTACTCTTAAAAAAAAAAAAAAAAAAAAAATAGTTGCTACTAAAACTTGTCTGATTTTGAATCCTGTATAGCAAGAATCTTTCAAAACTTAACAGCTCCCTATCAGGAGGACAGCAAAATAAAGTAATAATAAAAAGGAAGAAGAAGAGACTGGATAAGTGTTTTTACATGTCTTTATTTTTCCAATACATTTATATTCTGTGTTATAGGCCATCACATTGGGATTTAACAGCTACAGTTTGTTCTGCCCTTTAAAATGTTTTACATACGCCATCGATGATTTAATGCACTTACAGGTGTTACAATAACAAAGTTTGATATATCTGAAATGAAGAACGTATTAATTAGTCTTCAGTAGGCAACAGGATGTCTATTCATTTCATAGACCAGCGAATTCGATGACACATGACAAATAAAAGGCATTGGTATTTAAATACCATTGAAAGGAGAGAATGTGCTTTTCTCAGCAAAAAATGCTCTCAGCAATGCTCACATGTAAACATCTGAAGAGATGTGCGCTTAAAGCATCGGATCATGATTTTAAAGAGAGATTTATGCAGGCGACAGATTGGCAAAGATTTCAGAAGTAAGACTCATCAATATTAACAAAGTGCTTCACTTTATAAAAGAATAGGTATATAAAACTGTCGTCAGAGACAAAAACCAGCCCACAATTTTCTTTCCTTTCATCACCGACTTGTAAACACGGCAGTTATGTAAACACGTGTCTTACCGTTCAGAAAAAGTTCAAAGTACGGCTTAAGCACAGTTACTTTCTCACAAAGTAACTGCATACAAAAGGTACTACGAGTAATTAAATTTGAAAAGAACAATCTGTACACATTTTAACAACCAACAATATATATATATGTTTTTGTAAATTGCACTCTTAAAAATAGAGCACTTTGCTGCAATTAGACACCCTTGATGAGTAGAAGACAATAAAATGTCATTCACTGACAAAAATCAAAGCATAAAATCTAACACGCCGTATTAAAACTGTATAAGTTTACTAACGTTTATGCAAAGCTAAGGAGCTCTAACGTGAATGTACATTTATTTATTCTTCTGCTTTATAAACAGTCAGTGTTGAACTTGAGCGCGAGGAGCTATCGAACGAACAAGAACAGATACTGACTGTAGAGATGCATCGAGACCTGTTCGACAACACCGAGCAACACCCGAGTGGCAGTTTAAACAAATGCAGTCACATTTGCATAGTACATCAGCACAGTCCAACACTGCAGACAGTCACTTCTCCAAATCTGCACACAGACAAGAGCGTATTTAGTCTGTTACTGGTCCTGGTTTTTACACATCACGACCACAATGATTTACCAAACTGACTGACGGCAGTCGCTCACATTCCTACGTAACCTGCACATTTTCTGCTAGAAATGCTTCTAAGATCTATACATATATATATTTGGGACACTGCATCAGTGCTTCAAAAAAAAAAAAAAAAAAAAAAAAAAACTGGAATGGAAAAAAAGTAAAATAAATAAATGAAAAGAAACTAAATGAAAAAAAAAGTTTAATCTTTTTTGTTGTTTAAGGACATTTTAAACTGCTGAACAGAAACATCCAATTAGTGTTTAACAGCAATGAAGACAAATTAAGTGGCGAGCATGGCTTTTTTTTTTAAGCATTAAATTCTTGCCTTTGCCAGAGTGCAATAGTTTTTACACCAAGCATGAAGGACCTGCACGTAATAAAGTGACAACATAAGACCCAAAATGAGCTTAACACGACTGTATAAACAAGCACGCACAAAGAAAGAATGCGCAGTGAGTTTTGTGTGCACCTCAGGCGTAATTCAGACTATTCATTCACATGTTTTTATAGAGAAAATTGGGCCTGATGAAGTGGAAATGACTTACTAACATTAAACACCTACTACTATTATTAATAACTAAGGCAGTGCGTAACGTACAAACAGATGAGCTTTCTTGTTTCTAGAACTCGGCCGGGATTTTTTTTCCCTCTGAACTTTCACCTTTCTTCTGATGCAGATTTTCTTGCAGCTTTTGATTCCACAAATGGGTCCATCACATAAAACATTTCCTTATCCCTGCTCTTCCCCTGCCATCTCTGTTCAGTTCCTCAGTTTCACATTTGGTACAACTACCCTCTTTTAATGGCCAAATTAAATAACCTGAGGTGCAAACAGTGGTTTCATTAACAACCCCCCCCCCAAAAAACCCCAAAACAAAAAAAAGAGTGGTTACATCCATTCATGTCTAAAGATGCAGTGGAAAGACTTGTTTATGTATTTACAGTTTCAAACACTGATGTTATTAAGAGAGGACAATCTGACTGAAAGGATGTGTGTACACATCTGTCTTTATGCATCTGGCTGGGCAAAAAGTGAGTAAAACTATATCAAACGTCCATTTTTAAAATGTAGGTTTTTATCATAAACTGTACAGCTGTTATTCACATTCAGATACTCTTATCGCTTCACAGAATCAAGTTATTTAAATATATGAGCATTTTCGCAGAACAAATAAGAGTGAATACAGCTTTGAGCGACTTGCATCAGAGAATTAAATACTAGGATAACCTGATTTGTAAACTTTACAACACGCAGGGTGACGTAAAAACACCTCCATCACTCCAGATTTCATGTCTTTTCTTCAGCTGGGCCCCGACAGAGGACTCATGTGAGTCTTGTTGCTCTCAATCTTCACAGCCAGCAGGTTGTATCAGACCTGAGTCTGATACACAGCTTTTTTGTTGTTGTTGTTGTTTTTTTTTCCCCAGGGGCATCACGCAGCTTTGCTTTACTCCAATGACAGCAATGTCAGTTCAGCTCATTTCCCACGTATGCACTAATCCACCCCGTCGAAGCCTTGTGCATTCTCTATAGCGATGTTAAGCTTCTCCCTCAGTTCCTCAAAGGACTCGTACGGAGGAAGGTCCAGCCGATTAAAGCTTTAAGAAGCAAAAGAACAGACAAGAAGAAATTCACAGTTAAAATTTAAGCAGTGGCAAAAAGGGAACACGCAGGAGCGTAAACACTGTGATGTGCCGGTGAAACTAAGAATGACAGTAATGCGCCACTAGTTGGCTTCCACAAGTCTGCACTATGAGATACAGTAGGCAGTTTGAAAGCAGCACAAAACATGGATGAAGTTTCTGGTCTGGGAAGTGAAGCCAGTGCTTAAACCTGCATTCTTTCTAAGACTCGTCTGACTGCATGAAGATTTCTGGTTGTGCAGAAGTTTATGAAAAAACTGCCTTCAGCTCTCTTGCTCTGTGACTTTTAGCACTTTCCTGATGACTTTGCAGCCTTAATCAATAGTTTCTGGTCACACTGAATAGAACATGAAGTTATAAAATGTGGTCATTATTAGAGTAGGAAAGGACAATTATCCAGGGTACACTGCTCTTCAGAAACACGGGTACAATCTCACTGCTCACACATGTGCACACACATCTCCGCAGACAGTCATCTACATGTTGTAGCTCTGTATTGTCACCAGGAGGCGTTGTTCCAAATGTGTGGACAAACAGGTCTATGGGCTACACCTTAGAGTGTCATGTCTGACTTCAACACAAGCTTGCTTATAAGAGCACCTCACTAAACAGCCACATTACAGTGGGTACATAGATGATTGATACCAGTCTCTTTTCAACAAGCTGCTCAATTTCAACACAAAACATGGTCAAAGCAAAGTGACGCTAATGCTTTAAACTGGCACTCTTTCTAAAGACCAGTAGGGCGATGAGACTCTGGCTGCAAAGAGAAGCCAGAAAATAAATCTATGAGAAAGGATTTATTTATTATTATTATTTATAAATAAATAAATGGATAAAATGCCATTTTCTATAAATGTTCTGTACGGCACAGTGTTTATTGAAAACACATCAGATCTCAGTGGGGGGGAAAAACCCAAATAATGTTGATATCTATACTTATATGGACTAGGTAATGTGTTAGGAACACCAACTATTAGAATATGTGCTGTTACAACTCCGGGCCTTCGTGCAGGATTTGTGTTGAATGAGTTTCCTGGGTAGAGGCGCATGAGAAAATCTGAGTAAATCCAGTCTTTTTGGGTTTGTGGATCCCTGCTGTTTGTGTGATTTTCCATGTGTCTTTCCAATTTTACAGGGGGGATTGATGGGCCGGTGATTGGTGAAGGTGTTTCTCTGGAGTATGATTAATTGTTTTAGGGATTCCCACCTATCACGTAATTCTTGTAAGGTAACAGTAAAAATATAACAAAGCTGAAATGGCTCAACTCAACTGTGCTAATACTACAAGCTTCACTGCTAGATCCAACGCAAGAAGAGCAGAGGAAGAAACAAATGTGCTTTTATCCTTTTTAAAAGTTGGCAAAAACCTTCAATAAAATCTAAAATGATCCTTTTGCCACAACTGTGTCCAATATAAAGGGAGAAAAAAAGAAGAAGAAGGGAAAAAAAGAAAAAGAAAAGCAAAGCACAGTGAAATGCTTACCATGTGTGGGCTCTGGGAAGTTTTTCACGTGTTCCCCAAAGCTCGATGGTGAAGAGCTGCGGTCCATTAGAGCCTGGTACATAAAACCATTAAACATCAGATGACAACAACAACAAACATGAGTTCAAGTGGAATTAATTTGCAAGAAACAAAGAAATCAACCCAAGGGCAAATAGTTAAAAAAAAAACCCTGTTCATTTAGAGAGGGAATAATTCTAATCTCACCATAGAGTTCAGCAAAGCCATTCATCGGGACCCTGGATGTCCCCGTCACAAACTGTAAGAGCCGGATTCGCTTTTCTGCATCCATCAGCAGCACCGCCTGTAATAAAACAAAACAAAAAGCATGAAAAAATACATATCACTGAAGCTTTTCTGCACAGACGTCCCTGCCCCAGCTGCAGATTATTAGCCACAGGTATGGAAACTTGTCTCACCTTCCAAAACCACAGGATAACCACGTGGTTGGAGCAGTAGCCGTTCTTATACTTTGTGTTCGCTCTCCAGTCGTTCACGTCCACATCTCCAAGACCACACATGAGCAGCTGAGGAGGAAAACAAAGCAGATACACTGAACATTTTCCATCTCTGAGAAACTGAAACAGTTTTGGGGTTTTTTTGCTAGTTAGATCAGCTAAAAACTCACCTCGAGCTCATTCTCATCAAAGATCTTGATCAGATCTTGCGGTACCAACTCAAAGAAGCCCTAAAACACAAAGTATACCAGACTTTTATTCCTTTGTGTATCTTTAATACCCGTACCGTGTTTAGCAAGTTTAAAAAACAAAACCACTGTTTACCTCCTTGAAGGCAGTCATCTGCTTCTGTATTCTGTTCACAAACCTCCACTGAATCACCAGGCTGTTAATCACAAAACAGCATGTCAGCATCAAACTGCATTTACACACACACTGAGAAAAAAAAAAACAAAGAAAGCATTTTCTTACTGGATGTATTCATCCTTGTTTTCATTGGTGACGACAATCTCTGAGCCATCGGGTTTCAGGTCATGCTGGTGAGTCTGAACAGGTGGTGGTGTAAGAAATGAAGCATCAGTCAGAGAGACACAAAGCCGTGTCACAACTTAAATGTTGGGACAAAAAACAAGGACGTTCAGCAGACCTGTCCAAACAGCTCTTCATCAATAGTGAACCTCATGTCCAAGTCCGTTGGGTCGTTCTCCAAAATCCACTTCAGGGAGTTGAAATATTCACCGTCCTGAAAAGAAAAGGAAAAAAAAGACATTTAATTGAAAATGATCTACATCTCATCCAAGATCCCAAATCACACCAATGCAATAATTACTACAGTCATACTCACAACAGACTCCATGTCCTGGAGGGTGATTGGCTTCCCCAGCATCATCTTGTAGAAGGGCCGAATGAAGAAAGCTGTGAAGTAAACAAATATGCAAACACTTACAAAGATATTTACTGGTGACGTTTTTAAAAAGGTGCAACAAGAGCAGCTCCCATCAAACCAAACATGCCTCCCTCTTCCATTTACATTTCCAAACACACGTGGTAACTATAGTCAGCTGATTGTAAGTGTGTTTTCCTGCTCCTCTTCCTCTTGTTACTTTTACTCTCTCTGTTACGCATACTGTTAGTGAGAGTTAATGTGGGTGAAACAGAGCACAGGAGAGCAGTGAGGACAGACTCTACCACAGAGCTGAAATTAAAATCAAGTATGTATATGTTACAAACAGCTTTTTTCTTTTATTCTTTGGTTTTTGGCAAAGCTGACCACTCTGGAGTGCACTGTGTCATCCGTTTCGAGTGTCCCCTCTGTTGGCTTTCTCAAATTATAAAAAAAACTTGTGGCACCAATGTGACCCCTCAACCTGAAGATGAACCTACGGTAAAAAATCCTGGTGAAAATCCTTGGTGATTTTCAGAAAAGTTGACACGTGACCTTGAAGATCTGAGAAACCTCGACATCGTGGTCACCGAGATTTGAACTCGTCTGAGATTTTAGTAGATGTCCCTATCTGACGAATCTCAAGTTATCTAGAGAACAAGGTGACATGGGATTTTCAAGGCCACAGGTGTCCACGCCAACCACCTGTCCAGTATGGTGACGACAATACCCCATCAGCCTTTTACAGCTGGAGGTAAAAACAACTTGAGAAAGCCAGCAGCCTCAAATGGAGGGACTGCTATCCAGAACCATGCACAAACACCCAGAAAAGTTACCAAAATGCAAACAATAAAGCGCAGACAACAACACACAAAGAAAGACAGTGAGGTAAATTTTTCACAAAAATACTTCCTGCTGCTACATGAAGAACTCTGAAAATATCTGACCATTTTCAGCAGCCACGTGACACTCACCATCGAGGAGTTTGCCGTGAAACACAGCCATGCCTGCCACGCGACCGATGAACTTGAAGTAGGTCAGGTGGTCCTCGTTGCATAAACCTGAGTTGGGGTTAATCTGCAGTGTGTAGTTGTCCCTAAAACATAAGGCAGATCAGGAAAGTGTCTTTAGTAAATGCAGTAGTACTTGCATAGTATTTTTCTACTCAATTTGAACACTCAGAGCTTTCTGTCTACAAGTGTCACTCATTCATACAATAGCATTTTTAACCTGATGTTCACACTCTCACAACTTTGGGTTCAGTATCTTGCCAAAGGTCATGGAAAATGGCACTGAACCACCAATCTTCCCACAGGTCAACAAGCCACAGCACCAAATGTTAGTATGAACAATTACTACTTTTGTGGATCCTAGCCCAGATAGCCCTATAAGCGGACTGAACATTCTCACATGGTTTGTAGTGACACATTTTGGTTCACCTGGACTTTTCTGCGTGAAAAGAAGCCAAATCACGGGGAAAACCTTGTGCAAAATCATCAGCTGATTCACGCCAGGATAAATGATCTACAGCTGTGAAAATGCCCTTAGAGAGCTGGTCCAGGCCTTTGCTGTAACATATACCACAGTTATTTGATGTGCTTTGTACCAGGGCTGGAGATTTTGATTGAAACTTTTTCAGCCCACATTTTCACAGCCAAAGAGAGTTTTGATTGCCTTTTGTGTGTAAATGTCTGCAGCACCTCTCCCTCATTCCTCTGTGTGTGTGTGTCAGCTCTATTTTTTTTCTCCCTTGTGTTTCTCTGTTGTTCCCTGGTGTGAATGTGCTCTGTGTCATTTTGTGTATCTGGGAGTGGCTGAAGACTCCCATGCCTGTGGCTGCTTTTTGCATAAGCCCCCACGTTTACGCATTGATTAAAATTCGTAGTACATCTCCCCACCGCTTTAAAAATAGCCTCTTCCTCTCCTTTTCCCTTGAATGCATCAGCCCCCCCCCTTTTTACACTTATCCCACTGGCTTCCTGTCAGCCTCTTATCTGTCATACTCCCCCCCCGACTCACTCATACTCCTACAGGACTCCTATTTACAGTGAAAATGAAGGTTAATAAAGCATAATGACCTGTAAATATGCCCCCTTAAACAAAAATACATCATCCCAAACCTCGTTACCTCACAGAGACACATTGAAATTAGCAGTGATTTAATATATCGATCTCGGGAACTATACAGAAGTCCTGGATTTGAAGTAAATACAAGCACTGACATCTTTTTGTCCACATTTTAGCTGTCAGTGTAGAGGATGCACATCACTCGTGCAACATATAATTGCTTAAAAATTTCCAAAAGTGGGAAAACTACAAGTAACAACAACTGAATACAAAAATAAAGACTCACGTGGCAGAATACTCGAATAGCCCGTAGTACGGGTTGAACATCTCTTTGGACATTAGGAAGAACCACTCCCTGGCCACGCCACCGTAGTCCAGTCCTTTTTCTCCATCAAACTCCACCCACAGTCGTGCCTTCAACAGGTCTGGCCTCTTGACCGAGAGGATGCGTCGGTATGAGTCCTCCAGCACTGCATTTCGTTTCAGCTTCATCTCAAAGCGGTTTGGGATGTCCGCCTACATTTAAAAAACCAAAAAAAAAACCAAACCAAAAAAAAAAAAAAAGCAGAGTTGTGAGTTTTCGGTTACCTTTAAGAAGTTATGTTAAAAATCAGTGTGGCGGAGGTGTGGTCCCTGGCTCAGCTGCAGGGGAAGAGTGGTCAAGGGGGCAGTGCCAAGGAGGCTGGAGAGATAGGTGGTGGGGATCTGTCTAATGAGGCTTCTGCCTTTTATAAACAGTGAAGCTGGAGAGCACAGGGAAGTGTGTGTGCTGACAACCAACTGGAAAGTCGAGGAGCCGGGTGCCAAAACATACGTGTGTGTCACTTCAATAAACACTTCCCAGTATAAAATATCACAGTGTGTCAGGTCGATCTCTACAATCAGTAAGAGCTTTTGAGGATGCTCACCGGTTTCTTCAGCTTCTTCTTGAAGTAGTCATACTTCTGTTTGTAGTCTCTAGAGTAAGGCACTGCCTGTAATCACCAAAGGATAGAGGTCAGTAACAGCAACAGCAACAACAACAACAACAACTTTCAAAGTCATACTTACTGGTCCAGTTATAGCAGCGTTCTGCAATCTGGGATCTTCCCATTGTGTGTTCTTTGTGTCTATGAAATAAAATATATCAAAAAGCATATATTAACAAGAAAACAGATTGATTAATGTACTAATCAAAGATGTTTTCGACTTAAACGCATCATACGCACTGTGATCTATGTAGAAGACCCTGCCATCACTGTGGACCCTCTCCTCCCAGCCAGGCTAGAAATGAAGAAAATATCAAATCTATATTAATCAGGCAGATTAAATATCATATCAGCAAACCAATCAGGGCACCGCATACAGTGTTCAGCCACAACAGTAAAACCACCATTAGTCTCAAAAAGGAAATGCAGTGATGGATAGTTTGAAGCACATAAACAGATTAATGGGACAATTATCTCTAAATTATATCAAGGAAACGGAAACGCAATAATACAAATTACATTAAAACAAAACAGGGAAACGAAATAAACAAAGAAACAGCTGAAGAGACATCAACTAGCTCAAGGAAATGAATAAACATCTGATTTTTGTTACACCTTATGTTAAAAGCAAGCAATCCTGGAGACAGTGTGGTCATATCCACTCCCACATATTTTGGAAATTAAGTAAAATTCAAGTATTTCAGGAGAATATAGGTGTAGCTCTAAGATGCCAGGTTATGAAATCTCAGTAGATGTCATTGGAGCAATTAAAGAGGGTGTTGTTGTTGTTAAAAAGTTATTTTTGCAAAATATTTCTTACCTAAAACTATAACAAAGACCTGGTATAAACTTGACCCACCAGGTCTTAAACAATGGATGGAGTAACATCTTTATAAAGAAGAGGACAATTTTCTCGCTAAAGGCCTAAAGGAGATGCCTTTTTACAAAAGTGGAAGAAAAGAATCACCTGTATGTCAACTGAGATGGTTAAGGACAGTTGGGACAATATATTCTGAGAATGTAGCGATGTTTGCAGTGTCCCACCGGTGCTTTTTGTTAAAACTTGGAGAAAAAAAACCCTTAAACACTGGCAGGTGGAGTAAATAACAGTGATAATCTTGTTAAATTTGGGAAATGCCAAGGAGTGGCAGCAAGCAAACGGGCAGCCAATGAGCTGGACACAAAATGTTTTCATAGACGGGTAACTGACGGATGCTGACAACAGTGGTCTAAGAGGATAAATGGTGAAGGGTCAAGTGTGCACAAAGTTAACTGCTGTGCATAAGGGGAGGAAGGTGGATCCATGCGATCTGATACTACAGAAGAGCAAATGTAGCACAAATTGATGAAAACCTCAATTTGGGCTGCGAGAGAAAGAAAGTGCGTCACAGCTTACTGTGTTGTCCACCGATATAAAAAGCCTACAGTGGGATGAAGATGAGCCACGGAACAATGAAAGAAGATGGGCCGTTTGATGAATCACTTATTTTCTCTTGCACCTTTGTATTAACTGGGAGAGGTATGTGAAGTACGCAGCTGATGGATGCAGATTGGTGCTCTGGGTAGTTAAAAAGAAATCTGCTCTTTCATCGTTTCAGAAAACAAAACATTTATTTTAAAAATGAAATGAGAGTCTGATTTTATGCATAAAAATTTGATAAGAATTTCTTTAGACCACACAGCCCACTGTGTATGTGGCCTGCAGTGGCCTGTTTAAGCAGGAAAACTGCAACTGTCACATGACAAAATTCAAAATATGACCTCTTCCTTCAATATTTCCAGAACAAAGTGTTGACTTGACCTCAAATCTGATAAGGAAACTATGGGATATGCTGAGAGACTCAGCAACCTTGAAAAACTCTGGACTTCAAAAGTTTCCTTTGCCAATGTCTCAGTCCCCCATTTTGAAGATTTAAAGATGCGTTGGTGGCGCAAGTGGACTGGACTTTACTACGCATGGTGGTCTTAATGTTTTGGCTAGCAGGCTTTTTCCCCTGATAGGTAATCCTCAAAAGTTGATGCCTGTGTTGCATCTTGTTACTGAACTTACCGGCAGAGGGCCGAGATCGGAAGGATCAAGCGAGGATCTCCTCCTCATTTGTACAGGAATCCTTATCCTGGGATCTTCCTGTTCAGAGAAAAACAAGCAGGGTGTGTTTCAGTCAGAGAGGAAATCCTCACACAAGAGATGGTGGTGAATTACAGCTTGGAAACTCACTTGCTTTGTGGCACAGATTAGAAAAAAAGTCAACTAAATAACTGAAACCCAGTCTAGTTTTTCTGAATTGGACACACAGGTGCATTCAAAGCCTTTGGCTGCTATCTTCTCACCCAGGTAGTTGTCTTGGTATTGTGGTCGATGAAAAACGGCCTTCCATTGGGTGCACTGCGAACTTCCCAACCGAGCGGCAGGAAGCCAGATTCTCGCGTGGCCTCGGGGCTTGGAGTGTGCTGAGGAGACTCCTCTGTTGCTGCCAGTAGTTGGGATGGTGTAGGGCTTTGTGATAAGCCTGCACTACTCTGTGCCGCTGCTGCTGATGGTGCTGCTGATGGTGCTGCTGCTGCTGATGGTGCTGATGGTGCTGGTGCTGCCTCTGAAGTTCTCTGTACAAATAAAAAGACTCCAGTGAGATTCTAAATCGAGAACAGACACACTGAAGGGGAAAAGTGACAGAACAGTGCTATTTTAGAGTTTTAATCTAATAAAAAAAACAACAACAGGGGTTTAACAAAAGTTGCTATGCAGAATGCGAATAAAAAGATATGAATGCTGAAGTACCTGCACGAGAGGTCGTGTCCATGTAGTGGTTCGGTTGTTGTGGTTGATAAAGTAGCGTCTTCCTTTACTATCTCGCTTTTCCTCCCAGCCTGGAGGTAACCCAGTTGAGGTTGGAAGCAGCTGTCAAATTAAAAATAAGTAAATACATTCTCAAGACGATAATTCAAGGACAATAATTTGGCATAAGATATAATTTCCACCATAATCATACAGACAGTCATTATAAGGCACTCTATGCAAGTGGATTATTATTAATCTATCCTATCCAGTTTGTTGGCCAGGTTCCGTTGTGGTCTGACTACTTCGTGTGGAGCCTTATTACTCCAAGCTCAGAGGCTGAAGAGCCTATGACCACCAACTACAGTCCAAGATGCCACGTTGGTGAGGCCCATCACAGGATGAGAGGCTCACTGGCTGAATAACAGGACTGTTGTGACAGCTACCTCACACAGAGGTCAGGGACTAGCAGTGCTGGGTCAGAAACCCTCTTGTGATTGATTTGGTTGCTAGCAGATTGCTGGAGTAGTCCAAAATTTGTATGGAAGATGCCAAACATATGCAAACACTCACCAACTGCTCACTAGTAATGAAACTAGAAAGTCTGACACAAACAGGAAAAAGATAACTCAATAAACATATTTACTAAATCAATCATGACTGGCAGGGATTGCTGACTGCTCTCTAGACCTGTGTGACTCAGGCTTGTGACACGAAGGGAAGATGATAAAATGGGCTGATTACAAAGGACTGAACTTTCAAAATAAAACATAGAAACTCTCATTCTAAACTTTCTAATGCACATGAACAAATCAAAAGCATGACTGGTAATAATTTCTATAAAAGACAGCATGGTGGACTAAAAACAACAACACCTGGACCAACAGCAACAGACACAAATCAGCAATCAGAGCTTTCAGCAAAAGAGTGAAAACAAGATGCAGCGATTCATGAGAAGGCATTTCAGATTTGATCTGGAGTGACAAGTACACAAAAATAGTATAAGTGGTCAAATGACTCTAACCTAATCTGTGGGAATAATCGTGATACAGATTATTAATTGTGAATCTAGCAAACAGACAAACTCTAGCAAACACAATATTCCACATAGAAATCTATAACACAGTTAACAATGCCGTATTCCTTAAATGTCCCTCCACAGGAACTGTGACAGTCTAAGATGATTGAAAAGTGAACTCATAAAGACTGAAGCATTCAGATGTAAGAACATTTTGGGGACTTCAACAGAGAGCGAAACACTCACCACAGGATTAGCCGGATGTTCCTCTCCTGTTGAGGTCTGGGCACTTCCTCTGCGACTGGAATGCCTTGAATTACTGCTGTGATCCTGCAGGAGAGTGGAAGGATGACTCTGATGACCACTTGGCCATTAATGTGCATAAATTTTCCACCACTCTCCCACTCTCAGCTCACATTTATATGATTACGGGCCTACTCCCCCCCCCTCTCTGCTTTCAGTAAGTCAAACCTCAAGCGACACAGAAAATAACTCACGATCTGGGAGGGGCGCCGCTCGCCAGCTGCGGCAGCGATGTTAACGTTCCTCATTTCATCGCACAGTGAGTGGAATTCCACTGGGGTGCGGGGTGAAGGTGATCTGAGCTGGTTACTACTGTGGTACTGGGTGGAATCATCCTCTGTAATGATCTCCCAGCTCTACATGATGACAGAGAGGAGACTCCAATGATCCAAAGCAACAACAGTGCAAGGCTGTCAGAGGTAGTATGACAAAGATCTGAACTTCTTTGTTTAAATATACAGCGGATTGAGAAGACGAGCCCGACGCATGACGTCTGCTTTGCTTAGGCTGTGTTAACACTGATGAACCTTAAAGCTGGTTTTAAAAACATCCCTGTGCAGTTAACCTTTTTTTTTTTTTTTTACAAGCATGTAAGCCTGCACATGACAGAACTAACTTAATATGTACATAAAAATCAAATGAATTGGGCTCTATAATCTTTTTTAAGAGCTACTTAATCAGTACTTCCTGTCTTTGTCCTTTTCTCCGCCGACTCCCTTTGCTCCACCCCCATCAGTTTCACCTGTGTTCAATCACACCTGTGTATTTACAGTCCCCTCTTGTTTTTCCTGGTACCCACATCCTGCATCCTTCTCAAGTGCCTCATGGTTCTTTCCGGATGCCCTGTGTTTTACTCTTGTTGGACCTTCTACTGATATTGTTTTGGATTAGCCCTGCTCACGTGAGCAATGCCCTTTGTTGCCATTTTCCTCCATAGGTCAAAGTTGAGCTTAATTGTACCATTGCATGTCTTTGCAACACTGCAACAGTTTGTATCACTATTAAAAAGGATTAATTAAGATCATGTCCTGCACTGATTTTGAAAATGCACAGTGTCCATCTGAGTTCAATCTGAGCATCAGAATGGGGAGGAAAGGTGAATTCACTGACTATGAATGCAGCATGCTTGTTGGGGCTAGACGGGCTGGTCTTAATATTTGAGAAACTGCTGATGTACTAGGATTTTAAGAGAAGACCATCTCTGAATGCAAAACAACTGCTCCAAACGTCAAAGCAGATGGGCGACAGTAGCAGTAAACCCCACCGGATGCCACTCCTGTCAACTAAGAACAGGAAACTGAGGCTACAGTTCACACAGGCTCACCAGATTGGACAATAGAAAACTGGGAAAATGTTGCCTGCTCCAGAGACTCTTGATTTCTGCTGCGACATTCACATCACAGGGTCACAATCTGGCATCAACATGAAAGCATGAATCCATTCTGCCTTATATAATACTGGAGGTGGTGTGGGTGATGCTTTCTTGCAAACCTCTGGGCCCCTTGGGAACTAAATGAGCACCATTTAAACCCCACAGTTTCCCTAACTATTGCTGCTCACCATGTCCATTCCTTTATGACCACGGTGTATCCATCCTCCAACAACTCAAATCATCTCAGTAAGGGTTTCTTGAACCTAACAGAAAGTTCACTGTCATAACATGGCCTTAAGCACATCGCATCTCAATCCAATTGAGCATCTTTGGGATGTGGTGGAACAAGAGATTCACATCATAGATGCACAGCAACTGTGTGATGCTATCATGTCGACATGGACTAAAATCTCAGAGGAATCCTTCTAGCACCTTGTTAAATCTTTAATATAAAGAAATTAAGGCAGCTCTGAAGGCAAAAGGAGCCTAAGACTACATTTATGTACTAAATATATTTCCAAGCAGAACATCACCAATATTTCTGATATATTTCCTAACAGACTGCTTTAGACTATATCCTGAGGCAAGCAGCAGACTCCTTTACTACTGTGTTAACCAGCTAGGTGCTAACCATGTTTATGTTGGCTGTTTGGTGCTAAGCAAGTACTGCAGAGTTGGGCGGGTTTCAAAGTTTTTGCAGCAAAAACAGCATTATGAAAGGGTTGGACTCAAGTGTTAAACCATGAAACTTGTTCTCTAATTTGAGGAACATTATCAGAAATCCTGGGACACAACAAGGAAACAGGGAACAAAAAATTAAAGAGTTACCTCTGGAGACTCTTGCGTGCTATCCTCATGTTCTGAGATCTGTCTGCGTGTTATGAAAACATGCGCCGCATCCGTATTACTGTTCTGTCTTCGTTGAACTTCCAAATTGCCGTCTCTGTTCAGGGGGAGACAGACACTTAGATTCTCACTAATGAAATGCATCAAAAGGGTTTTTTAAATTATTTTTTTTATAGGATATGGGAGCCATCTTACTGCGTGGTGGGCCGTTGCCATTGTGTGGTTCTGGTTTCATGATTAACATAGTAGATCCTTCCAAGATTATCTTGCCTCTCCTCCCAGCCAGGAGGAAGAGGAGGCAGGATCTGGTTTTGTCTGGGACCTGACATATCATGTGTCTCTAGAAGCTCCCAACCAGGCTGTTAAACAAGGAGGACATCATTTTGAAATGCTAAAGAACTAAACTAAGCTGTACATATGGAAAACTGGAGATAAAAAAAGTCTCGCCTTATTGGAAAATAAAATTAAACGGCCATTTTCACATTTACAAACACAGCTACTGATATTAATATGTACAATTTACTATATACAAAGTTCAGTGCAAATAACTTTGTGTGTACTAAACTTTATCTGGTACATTACTATTACTGTTCTTGGTAACTGAGTGGCATGCAAATAGCTGCGGCTATGCATAATGGTTGCTTTGGCCTTGAAGACCTCTTTTACCCTTTTCTTTGAATAGTTTTTTGTATTCGGCATTCTTATTTCCTACATTTCTCAGATGACTGTCTCAGTTTCACACACGTTCACGCTTTGTCATTTCCTTTCTACAAATTCCACGCCCAATTTTTGTGGTGCAAACAGTGAATTTATATGCAAACAAAGTAAGGGAGTGTGTACGTCCATTCATGGCTAAAGATGAGGGTGGAAATCACGTTGGTGCACACACACAATACAGTTCACAATGACTGAGATTTAGAGAAAGTATCATGGATGTGCAGTATCGTGTGTGTATATGTAAGAGATTTATACACCTGACACTCTGACTTGTGCTTTGATCTGTCAGTAAGGAGATGAACCACAAGCTATTTTGTACCTAACGCTGAAAACCAGGTGACAAGGCCAAGGTTATAGCTGGGATCTCAATGTGACCCAGCTTGTCAAAATGAGCCATAACAGTTTAATAACCTCGCAGTGTTAAGATTTAAGTTAATCTAAATCTAAATGTTAATTTACAATACTGTTCAAAAGTCTTAAATCACCTCTCATTTCTTCATCTTTTGCTCAGAAAAATGGGAAACTGGTGCACTGCTTTATTGAAATGTACAAATATAAAAGAAACAGAGTTTGTACAATTTTAATGAGCCTGAAAGTCAATAATTGTATAACCCTGCCCCTTTATTCTTCAACACAGCCTGAACTCTCTTAGCCAAGAGTTAGGATAATTTCTGTAAGTAGCCTTCAGGAGTAGTTCTTGAAAGTCATTCAAAGCTCTTCTTTGGATGTTGCCTGTCTTTTGTTCTGTTGTCTGTCAGCATGATCCCACACTGCCTCTATAGTGTTGAGGGTCTGAGCCCTGGGGAGGCAAATTCATGACTGAAAGTGTCATTGTGTGTCTTCTTGTGTAGGTATGCTTTTTTTTGGGATTGTCATCATGCTGAAACATACTGACAGGCTACAGTGCTACCCCTCAGCCTCCTAGCAGATATACCTATAGCATAAATTTGAAATTATGAATCTCAGTCATATCATATGTACATTAATAGTAATAAAAACACAGATTCTGGTTCAGAGATTCTTACAATTAAAGATGCAAATTAATGCAAACATTTTCGTGTGATGCTCTAAAAGCGAGTGCAAGGACTTAAATTCAGCACCAACTACTAACTGACCTGACACTCACGTTGAACAAGTGGAAGCACTGCTAACACAAAAGCATTCGTAACACTAAGCATAAACTTACATCGTTGTCCTCAGTCAGATCTGCAGTTTCCTCCTCTGAACCTGGGTTTTTTGGCAGGTAGGTCATTTTTAGACGCAGATGACCTTTAACTCTGGACTTGTGACTGTGTGGGAATGGCAAAAAAGTAAATAAATAATTGTTTTGTTTTCTTTGTTTTTAGTGGAAGAAATAAATATCCAAAATGCTAAACAAATAATAAATGAGTGAGCCAATATATGGGAAATGGAATGTAAAACAGAGAAAGACAAAAGATTAAATAACCATGAAATCATGCCAACCTTCGTGGGTGAAGCAGAAAATCCTTGAATGTGTATGGCCTTTCATTGTTAGGATTTTCTGTCTGAGAAAACAAAATAAGAAAAGGAAATCTTTCATTTCTTCACACTGCATGAATAAATCTGCTGTTCAGCTCAGGATCATAACACTTTTAAGATACCAATGGGTGAAATGACAGTGACCGTGCACAGTGAGGGCTAATTTGTGGGTGCTGTATTTATAACAAAACAACAGCAGCAGCATAACATAAACACAACCGACTGTATTTCCAAAACTGTGGACACTGATGTGGAACAGGCAGTAGAATAAGGATGTCCATGTTTATATTTAAATGGTGCCATAGGTGGGACTGAAGCTAAGAGCTCACACAGTGAAAACCAAATTACATTCAGCCTACTGTGATCTTAGATTAGAGACATCAGTATTACAATGAATTTTCTACAGCCAAGCACTCACCGGTATTTGATTTAAGGGGATATCCACCTGTCCCAGGAAGTCATCACGTGTCTGAAAGGGAGAGAGAGAGGGAAACACATGGACATTAGAGCCGTGACAACATCATCTACAAACACAGAGGACGGGCTGTTAATCTGATGTCTTTGAGTCCCTGTTCCAGAATGCAGGTTAAGCTAAACCTGAGAAAACTCATCTCAGCTTTTCTGCTCCAAATTTCTGACCCACTGGACCCAAATCAGCTGCCTGACAATCAGTTTCTTTTTCTTATTTATACAGTTGATATCAAAGCACATACATACTGCTTTTACAATTAGTCTGTCACCAATTTTACCAGACATCATAGGTTTATTATCAGCACAGAATATACTGCATATGCTACACATTTCAAACTGTGACAGTAACATTTAAGTGCATGTAGTAGGTAAAGAGACTGACATCCAGCCCAGCAAGTATCATCTACCCACAAAAAAAAACAGGGACTGATTTTTTCCATTGCAAATGACCAAAATCAGCCTTAATTTGTCTAATGCAAGTGTGTCAAGCATAAGGCCCGGGGGCCAGAATTGGCCCGCTAAAGACTCCAATCTGGCAAAGCAATTTGGGCAGCTTTGAAAAATGTGAAGAAGGGCATAAATTTCAGACTTAACTGTGTCTTCATAGGTTTTACAACTTTTCCTATTGATAAAGATCCATGATCATTCATACTACACCAAAGATATATAACAGATAAGACATTAAATGACATACTTTTTTTTTGTATCTACTATAGAAATCTATGATTTTTACAGTGAGTTCACAGTAAACACACAAAAAACATAAAACAAGGACTGACAATTAATTTTAGTTTTGTTTTATAATCACAGGGCACTGTGCAAAGAGCTAACAGAACTTTTACTGTAAATTTACATATTTATTTCTTGCATTCTTATTTCTTTACACCCAACGCAGCATTTTTTTTTTTACAATGTAGAAAACCTATGCTGTATTGTTGGACTTATATATTAAAATACCTCTGAGATTAGATTAGTGATTAAACTTTTTTACAATATGAGAAAGAGGAGTTTCACTGATATACGTCGCCCGTGATGTAAAATGAGTTCTGTCTAACGTCATAGATAAACAATGTCTTATCTGTGTTATCCATAATTTTAACTTCAGGTGCGACCACCCAAAAAAAACCTGCAATAAATAAATAAATAAATAAATAAAATGTTTTTTTTACATGATTTATGAAATTAAATTAGCAGGAATAATCTGGCCTAAATCAAAGGCCAGATTAACAGTTTAACAGCAGAGTAACTTCTCTGCGTTAAACAAACCACAACTAACCACAAGTGCAGACAAAGCATCACCGAAATAACACAAAAGGTGATCAGAGCAAAAGCTCCCTGGATGAGGAATGTTAACATGCCTCGTCTGTTGGGAGGGGGGATGATTAACAAGCTAAAAACAAGTTTTGGGAGACAAAACTTACTTTCTGAGAGAAACCAGACAGACACACATGTCATGTGAAATAACCTAAATGTGGCAATATTCAGTCAAGTCAGACACACAGGTTTAAGGTTTCACTCTACCACATCATTACCACAGTCAATGGCATTACATAGCACACAATTCATGTTTTTGGACTAGTTAAATCTATAAATTTGTTTCAATGACACTATGCTGCATTCTAACTGACGGGCACAAATAGACTTATGAGATGCATTAATTACTTTTTCTGTTTTGAGTTACCGTCCTGCTGCTTCAGTTTTTCCTGGTTTGTTAAAAGAGGAAACTATGGGTGGAGCCATTGAAATACACATGGCCAACAAGTGGACCAAACTATCAGCTGTGACAGTATGGGGGGGATGGGAGTTCTTTGCACAGTTAATCGATTGTCCTTGGGGTTTCCCCCTCCTTTTTCCTCTTCTGCCCTCCTTGCATTTAAAAATGGTCTATTCCTTTAATATATAGCATAAGTTCTTGATTTACACAGGTTAGTTTGTTGAGTTAGGGTCTTGATTTGTTAAGCAGTTAACTCCTTTACGGGTTCACTTCTTGCTTAAAATAGTTTGTTTTCATTATTTTGTATTTTTGGTATAATTTTATGTATTTTAGGGTACAAAATAACCCTCATTTGTGAACCTTTGTAAACATTACACTTACTTGTGCATGTACATCATTTCCTCAGTCCCTTATATGGCATAAATGGGAAGCCGCAAGTGGCTTCCTCTTACCCCCCCCAAAAAAAAAAAAAAAAAA